TTGAGGAATTATTGTTTTAAAACTAGCTTCTATATGTTGCTGACACGTTACTTGTAAGTTAGTTTTGCCTTATTTCAAGTAGAAGCAAGAACAGAAGTGCTTGGTAAGATTGTGTCTCACCGGGCGCGTTGACAGCAGGTTACGCAGCAAACCCAGAGTCTTCATCAGCACGTTGGTGTCGGGGTCGGAGAGCAGGCGGAACAGCTGCTCGGTGCCCAGACACCTGACGATCTCCACCTTCACCTTCTGGTCGGCCTGGAACGCCATGTTCTGGAAACGCATCATGTGTGCACATGAGATGGGAGTTTTCTCCATCACCATTTTTTTTTCCTTTCTTTTTTAATACAATGAACTCCATAATGAAACAAAAGTTTGCTCGTTACCATCAGGGCCCAGATGCCATTTACCCTGAGAGCAGGGCTGTCGCTCTGAGTCAGACTGCATAGTAACTCTATCACCCCAGACTCCAGGATGGGCTGTTGGAAACGACAACAACTTCATTTACAGATCCGCTTTAAACTGGCCTACTGTCCGTTACATTTAAAAATGTACTCTCTTTACAAACTGAGCCACATATAATTGATCAACTATCTCTGAGAACAGCTGGATGTGACGGCTTCTTCAGAGTCAAGTGACATCGTCACCTCTTTACTTGGCGAGAACTCCAGCAGCAGGTTGCATAGTGTTGAGGAAGCCATGACCAGGACTTCATCTGGGGCGTTCTGCAGCAGCTGCACACAAACACACCGTGAACAGCCTGAGGGCTGCAGCAGATTCCAGTCTTACTTCAGCGAGAAAGCCGAGTGGAGGTCGGATCAAACGGACCTTCATGAGGGGCTTCCACACGGCGTGATCATGAAAGCTGGTCCTTAGTTGCTGCACTGACCGGGAAAGACTATGAAGACACCTGCAGAGGAAGGGGGGAAATGCACACATGAACAAACATTACAGCAACTTTTATTAAAAAAAAATGGATTCTATACATTTGTTAAAACTATCACTAACTAATGTGAGACAAAAAAAATTGGCTCCTCTGCCTCCTTCCTACAGCAAATACACCGCTCTGAAAAAAACAACCAACCAGAGCCAGGAAAAGGGTCGTAGCTCTGTCAATCACCCTCGAGTACGCGTTGCTCACAACCTTTCACTTTTTCTCCGCTACACTACATCTGGTTCACCAGATGCAAGTCGTTTCTGCACCATCAGCACATGACACGGCGCGTATGCGGCACTGATTGACAGCGCCAAGACCCTCCTCCTGGCTCTGATTGGCTGTTTCTGACTGTGAGCAGTACATTTCTGCAGACGCCTCCATCTTCTCATAGATCATCCGTCTCATATTACACCGTTTCAACATGGTGACAGTTTTAACAAATATCTAAAACACATTTTTGTAAAAGTTGCATCAGTATGAAGAGCTCCCAAGTTGAAATGAACCCTGCAGGCATTACTTGATGCACAAGTTGTTCTTCAAAGTGGAAAACGGAGTTGAGAGAGGCTCACCTCACCGCTGCCAGCCGCACTTTAATGCTGGATTCCGATAGGCCGCTGACTATTCGGTCCATCATGTTTTCCGTCTCTGTGATCTGAAGAAAACAAAGGCGGTGCATTGGGACATGAGCATGTGTTCGTATCACCACACATGCAGGGGGTGAGGGGGAAAAAAAAAAAACTGACTGCAGAACCTTTTTGCGAATGTCCTCGTCATTTGAGCCCAGAGAGGCGTAGAGCTTGAAAGCAGCTTGTCTCAGCTCATGTGCATGTTTAAGGTCATGGTCCAGCTGCAGGGTGGGACAGGTGCAACATTTCAGTACGGACAGCTTTTAGTTTTAACCAATAAAGGTTCTGTAAAACATTTAAAACAAACCCATCCAGTCCCAAAAGCCCACTGGGAAAGAATCAGAGGTTAAAGGGGGTGAGGGGAGAACGCCTGAAGCAAATGATTTTCAAATTAAGTTGCAAAGAGTGTAGAGTACATAAATATGCTGTCATATGACACAAAAAAGACATAATCGCATCACAATCCAGTTTGGCCATCCTGATTGTTTGATGGCACAGTTATGAGCAAGTATTGAAATGGACAGTTTTAGAAATCACCAAAACCTTTTAGGTCAGGAGTGATCTGATCTGATTTTCATTCCCATTTTTTATCCAATTTTTACACATTTACTTAACGGCGGCGCACAGACAGAAGGTGAGACTGAGCCCAGACAAAACACAAGCAGCCGAGACCAAAGACTGACCAGGATTTCTGTTCAATTTACAAACCCAGCAGTTGGTGGATTAAGACAATCGCCCCCTAGTGGCCAATAAACAGACCTTTTAAGTATTAAAGTTGTCATGTCTTTATAGTCATGACAAAAACAATAAATTAAATGCATTCGATGTTTAAGTTATATTTTAGACATACATTTGTCATATAAATATTAATTTAGAATTCAACTTTTTTTTTTCCTCCTTGTTCAAGCAATTACTCAGGGTAAATAATCTGTAAAAGGTTTCCACCGAACTGAGGAGATCACCACTCTCCCACAAACCGTGCAATGAAACATCTTTCTACAACTGGTACAGGAAACATAGGTAACTTGTTTCATATAACCTAAACGCTCCATTTCAGTCAGATGCATGCAACAGGCCTGCTTAGACCCACCCTCTTGATGTCAGCGATGGCAGACACAGAGCTGGGATACTTGAAGTAGTCGGCCAACATGGCCACCAGGTGGTCGGTGGTGCTGGCGATCCTCTGCAGCTCCACGTCGGGCTCCATCAGGTAGGCTAGCGTCTCTGCACCTTCCACTCTCTCCTCCAGCAAATGCTCTTTACTGCACATCCGCACGAGGCAGGGCAACGTCTGGACACACAACAGGAAGTGACGTCGCACAGAAACGGCTCACCGGCGGCTGTTAGGACAACATGCAGCGGCGAAAAAGATCCAAACCTTTAGTACTATGCAGCCGTCGTCTGTCCTGATGGCACCTGCTCGACACATGTAGGTTAGACTGGAACGGAAACAGCAGCCGCACATGAGGTCCACGCAAACAACAAACACGCTCCAACTGTAAGGCTGAAGTGTGTAACTTTTATGAAAAGTGTGTTTTTTACAGATTTGTTCAAACTGGCAACATATAGTAACAGTATGGAATGAGACAGATTACCTGTGGGGGGTGGAATACAAAAAAAAATCTAGCCCTTCCACTTCCTACCAGTGCTTAATTCTTAATTTACAATCTGCAGAAACAGACAGCTACCGACCAAAAACGACCAATTGGATCCAGGAGAAAGGCCTCGGCTGTCAATCATGCTCGTGTATAAGCTACTTAATGGCGGAGAAACAACTTCCCGTTCCAGAAAAACTATTCATCTGCTGTCACTGGGTGCTATGCTAACTAGCTTTAGCATTCATGACAGATTCTGGTCTGAGAGATTTTAGACATTTAAAAATAAATGAACTAATAAAATTTGTGTAAGAAGATGTACATTTATTAAAATGTATGTTCTTTTCTGCCACACAATGATGGGTATTTCAACTAAATTTTCCTATGAATACTTTCTAAAAATATGCCAAAGGAAAATCAGCCCAAATTTTAACAACCCAACCAATTCTGTTTTTACAGGCCAATGTGTTTTCATAAGACGCCCAGTTGGGGTGATTGGCAGTGTTAAGACCCTCCTCCTGGCCCTGATTGGTTCTTTCTGACTGGAGCGTGCGTTTCTACAGACAGCCGTTAAGCACAAGGACCTTGATTTTTTTCACAGATGATCTGTCTCATATTATACTGTTTGGACATGACAGTTTTACCAAATATGTAAAAAAAAGAAAGAAAAAAAAGAAGCGCGTTATTTGTAAAAGTTACACACTGCAACTACGCTGTGTTACTGGAAAAACCTGGTGCAACACTCACCATTTGGCTGCCGTTAGCTGCATTTCAACGGGTTGATCCCTTTGCATCATTTTAACAAATACCTGAGTGAGCTGCTCACCATCCACCAGCACTGCCAGAAACAGAACAAGCAGCAGAGTTCAGAAGAGGAGAAAAAGTGGAGGGAAAACCAAAAGCAGGCGAGAATCTCACCATTCACCAGTGTCATGGAGACCTGAGTGTTCTCATAGGCCAGGACTGAGAAACACTTTAACGCCTGCATCCGGACCTGAGGAGGGAATGACGTAGAAGTTGATGTTCGCGTCACTGACGGTGAGAACAGATCAGACGACCTCACTGGGAGGAGCTGCGTACCTTATAGGAGGGTGAAATAAGCAGAGGGGCGATATTCTGGATGGCGCCGTGGTTGAAAAGAACCGTCTGGTGCTCTGGGGTCTGCGGACAACAATCAGCAGCAGATTACGGTCTGGATGTGTGTGTGTGTGTGTGTGTGTGTGAGATTGAATCCATCATGTTCATGTGTGACTGAATACTGTCAAATACCTTACAACAGTGGGAGAAGATCTGAGTGATGTACTCCTGGGTTCTCTGGGAGTTGCTCAGTAGAGACATGAGATGGGGAATCACAGTGGGATCCTTCAGTAAAACATACAACAACACTATATATGTGCATGGCCTCACAGAAACAAGCACATTTACATTACAGTTCTGAAAATAAATGTAGAGCAAAGTGGAGGATATACATGTGAAGTTGATCCTTTGGGATCAATAAAGTATTTTTGAATTTGAATAGTGAAGCTGCGATTAAGTTCCTGCAGCATCAAATCCTCACTGAATCCAGTTCGGAAAGCATCGACTTCACCTCAGAGGCGTCACCAAGTGGTTTCTAACGCTGCTGTAAAATAAATCAACTTGTTCCTCTGCATGTACAGAAGAGTCATCTGAAAAATAATGCTGTAATCAAATAGACACATGCCTAGACACTAAATATAACCAAGTATTTTTGGTCTTGTTTCTAGCGCAAACATTTTAGAACACTTGAAATAAGACTAAACTAACTTAAAAGTTACTGTTGAGCAAGATACAGGAGCTTGTTTTAGGTCAATAATTCCTTAATAGTGATGAAAAAGTAATAATTTCACTGGCTGATTATTTCACTTGTAACACGGGAAAAATGTTTAATTATAAATCAAATAATCTGCTAGTGGAACTTAATATTGATTTTTTTCATCAATATTAAGGAATTATTGACTCAAAACAAGTTCCATCTCGCTTTCCAGCTTCTTTGCAAGTTAGTTTTGCCTTATTACAAGTGTGTAAAGATATCTGCACTAGAAACAGCCCTAAAAATACTTGGTAAGATTTAGTGTTTTTGCAGTGCATAGGACCTAAACGATGTATTAATATGAATAATCACATTGCAAGGATCTAGAATTGCAAGGGAAGGAAGGCCCTGTAAACATGGGCTGCACAGAGTCAGGTTCAAGGTGACCTACTGTATACAGCAGCTGCACAGGCGTAACGGGACTGATGAAGACAGTTCTGAGACATCGAAGACAGGCTTCAGTGAAGACCAGGTCTGGACACAAGAGACCTGCAAAGTAAAAGGAACGACCGTTTTGCCCTCATTTTCTTATCTGCATGCACGGCAGTGTGTTTTATAGCTTCACCTTGGAGCAGGGTGGGGATGATGTGACAGTCCACCAAGGACTTGATGTTGTTCTCGGTGCCCATGGCCAGACTGCCCAGCACCACGGCGCACTCCGTCCTCAGCTGCAGGCTGGATGAGCTCTGCTGAAGCAGGTACAGTAACCTGGAAGCACAGAGAGAGAGAGGAAGAGAGAGAGAGAGAAAAAAAACCTGAAACCAACTTCATCACCTGCAAGGGACAAGACTGACACTGCAAAAATAACTAATCTTACCAAGTATTTTTGGTCTACTTTCTCCTGCAAATATCTTAGTACAACTGAAATACAACAAAACTAACTTACAACTTTTCAGAAAGACATGGGAGTTTGTTCTAAGTCAATTATTCCTTAATACTGATGAAAAAGTTCTAGTTCCACTGGGAGATTATTTCACTTGTAACCAGACATTTCACTCATGATGTACATGAAATTATCTGCCAGAGGGTCTAGTACTTTTTCATCAATATTACATAATTATTGACTTATAATTCAATAATAACTCCTATATCTTGCTGAAAAGTTAATTTTGTCCCATTTAAATGTAATACGTAATATTGCGCTAGAAAGCAAACAAAAATACTCGGTAGGATTTTGTAGAGTACCGAACATCCAACTATTAAATCTGTCACTTTAATTGTTGTTTCATTAGATCACTTAAAATAAAATTTTGAATTCGGTATGTGTGAGTCAGATTTGATATTTTGTTCAACCATGGCCTCAATGTTTCTCTTAAGAATTGTGACTTTGTTTCCAGGTAAACGGACCAATAAAAAGAGGAGAGCATATAAAGTTGAGAAGCTGAGGTCAGCAATAAAAAGCTCATGTTGTTAAAAAAATGCCTGGATTATTACAAAGCATTGCACTATTGTCAGTGTGAATGTAGGATCTGGTGTTACATTTGCTACAGATGAGATCGTCAAACAACTTAAAGACCAACACTTCAGTTTTATTATGTCTCATAAACTACTAAATGTAAATTAGATCACAGACAGCAGCACACAAGGAAGAAAGCCTTAAAAAAAACCCACAGGTTTGGAATAGTCAGCAGACCTGACACAGCAGATGTGATCTATGCTAATGTTTGTTTACCACCATATTTATGCTGATGCGCTTGAAACAACAGAGAAAGAAAAACATAAATGGAAAGAAAAAAGATGTGCAGAGTACCTCGGTACAGCTCCAAGGACAATCAGATTGGCCTTCTGCTTGTTGTTTCCTATGACAGCATTCTTCATATCACTAAGGGAAAGACAAATAAGAAAACAAAAAGATAGATGAGAGTTTTTTTTGGATACAGTAGTTCATTTGTTTGTTTGCCTGCTTTTTGTGACACTTAAATATTTAAAGGTGCGGTATGTAACTTGCATATGAAAAAAAAAAAAAAAAAAAAAAGTTTTCTTTTTGTTTTTTTTTTAACATATTTGTTAAAACTGTCATTATGCCATGACAGGAGAGTAGGAGACAGATGAAAAGCTACTCCACCTCCTCCCTGTGGTCCTACCACCATCTGCAGAAATGTACCGCTGCTGCTGCTCAGAAACAACCAATCAGAGCCAGGAGGAGGGTCTTAGCACTGTCAGTCATGATGGTGTATGTGAAGTGATTTCTCAACTTTACAGATGAGGTTATAATCAGGTCTTAGTGTGGGTAACGAAATTGAATGGAAAAAAATCTAGTTAAAAACAACTAATTCATGATTTAGCTACTGTATTTGAGATAGTTTTGCCTTATTAAATAATATAATTTGTAAACTGCATTTTGTTTTTACCCATATCATCTTTGTTTAATTTTAAAAAATAAAAATAAAAACATTGTACAATCAGAAACATTAAAGTGTGGCAAGAAAGTAACAAAAAGAAGAAATTTGTAAGAGAGCAAACCCTTTATCATGACAATGTGATGACCACGTTGCTATGTTAATTCATTTTTGTCATGGAAAAGTCACATTATAACCAATTGTCATTTTTTAGTCAAACAAAAAACAAAAACATGGTTTAATAATTGCACCAGCGATGAAAGACTTGATACGCTTATTTGAGGTGAAACAGAAGATATTCACATGTAACTGTTGATTTCTATAAATCTGAAGCCCAAAATGCACTTAACACATATATATTGACACAACCTTTCTTCTGCTGTGCCAGTGACCCGGATTACATCAAACAGGAGCTGAGTGGAGCTGGTGGAAAAGTGCAGCTGGAGTTTAGATAGCAGAGAGCTACGAGCCGTAACTAGAGCTAGTAACCTCACGGGATAAAAATAACCAGGAAACAGTCAGACTACGTGTCATCTACCTTATGCCGAGTTCTGAGTATCAGATGAAAACATGTACATGTAAACACATCGGTTCATTTCAGGAAAATCTCTCATTGGAAAAATGGAGCTTCCATAATATGCTGAAACATGAGCTACGTTAAAATAACCCAAATCACGGCACGCAGTTATAGAATTATTAACTGGATATGATCTACAACCTCTACATGCCGACAGGACAACACTTGATCTTCTCAAAACCTTTACTTAGTTGGAGCACACAGAGAGGAATCTGACCTGTGCATCTACACAAAGATTTTCTACAGGATTTAGGTCTGGGTGTTGAGATGAAGATGAAAGAATATTGGTTTTATATCTGATGAACAACTTCTGTGTTGCTTTGTCCACGTATGGTTATGGCTGGAAAATAAGTGAATCCATTCTTTGAAGGGAAACAGGCCCACAGGATCTCTGATCTGTTACGATTCTCAACAGTGGTCATACATTCCTGTTACAGTTCCAGTAAAGTTTAGCAAACTCCATAGGTTTACATGTGTCTACCAAGCTACCAGTTGGGATGTAGTTAGCATGTAATGGTTGTTATGGAGTCTAGAGATACAAGTCTCTGCTGAAGTTCTCCCAAAAAGGGCTTTGGGAATTATTTTATTTTATTTTAACCGCCCTTACCGTACAGCTCACTGCCAAGATAATTGTGTCCCCCATGTAGAATTATAGCCGAGAAATAAAATAACTAAAAGGAGAAACAGAAAATCAAAATATCAAAGACCAAGGTAGGCTTTGAAAACTAATGTGACAGGCAATATGTGTGGTGTATCAAATGGTAGGTACCTAGTTCCCATTTTTTCAAATCATTTTTAAAAGACAGATTCCAACCTGTCAACTTGATTTTCCCTATTTTTAGGTTTTCACATAAACATATTTACAACTTCATATAGTTTGTAAATGTTTCCACCCCCACTTTTTTTAATTCTTCACTTGTAATCCATAATGTTCCAGGAGGCTTGAGGAAATTCTGTTTCATTTAAGGGCGACTTTTAAGAATAAATGTCATCATTAATAATGTTTATTTTAATTGTACTTTGTGTTCAGATAAAAGCCATCTTATAAACTGGATTAATTTGAAACTTTAAACACTAAAATCCTCCAATAAAAATAGAAAAATACATATTGTGATACGCTTTTTTCCCTATATAACCCAGCACTGAGATGACATATAATACCTGTCATATTTATAAACCAGGAAGACAAGAAATCATAGAAACTACATGTAAAAAATACTTCATCTTCATTTATTATAAACTGATTCATTTTGGTAAAAAAAAACAGTGTTGTTGCTTATTTGTATAAGCGAATCATTAATGTATTTTCCATACAGAACAATTGGTCAAAAAAAGAATCAAAAGAAAAAGGCAGTTTTTTTTTAAAACATAATGCTTAACTGAAGAACTTCAGCGCTGCTAGACTCACATGACTCCCTGCAGCACTTTCTGTGGGTCAGGGTCGAAAAGTCGGTCAACATAATGGCGACTGGTGGCGGTGACTTCCTGCATAGACAAAACCAGCAAATATAACTATACGAATCCAGAGAGATGAACTCCGAGTGTTCAGATTATTTGGTTTGCCACATTAAAACAACAACCTTCAATGCATTAGACAGGTATTGCATGTGGCCAACACAAAGTTGTGCATAATTGTTAAGTTAAAGGAAAATCATCCCCTGGTCTCCTAAATATTTAAAGCGTGGCCCTGGACTCTGGATCTCTCACTGTAGCATCGTCCTGTTTGGATGCTGTTCTCCAGCTTGGGCAATCCTGGAAGAAAGCATCCAGCTGCATTTACAGAAAAATGTGGTCATAGTTCTACAAAGGACAGACTCAGGGAAACTGAAGAAAAATGGATGCCACTGTTGGTCTGTCAAATAAATACTAAATGAAGTACATAAAATCTTGTGGTTGCGACACCACAAAAAGCAAATTATCTGGAAGAGCGCAATTACTTTTGAATACAATGATTAAGTCTTCACCTGTTTTCTTACACAATACAAACAACAACAGTGCAGATTTGAGTAGAGAGGGCTACTAAACTTAAGCAAATCTAAAAAATTTCCAGCACAATGTTCTTTTTTGACATGCTGGACAAATACATAGCATTTCAGTAAAACAACAATCTCATGAGCTTTTCAAACATAAATCACAAAACACAACTTAACTCGCACAGAAATAATCATGTGCTCTCTGATGCATGCAGAAGTCTTCAGTCTAGCAGCCCCCCTACAAAGCTGTTTTATGTGTCATTTAATGCGGCTGCATGTGACACCAGAAAACTAGTTTATTCCACTGACAGCTTGGACCAGAACTCTCCCCCTGAGAAGCAAAGGTTCGCCAGCTAACAGCACCGTGATACTGTTGGATGGCTCTGGATGCCCCTGGATGCCCACACGCACACAACATGACTGCACCTGCAACATCACGGGTCTGCACACTTCTGTTCGCAGCTTCCTCACATAGTTTGATTGCATATTGGTACAATATACATATTGCAGTAGCTTTTCATGCTAAAAAATATACGCAAACAAAACGATATTTTAGATTCTGTGTAGCTAAAATTTGGGTTTTCTTTTTAACCTTCACTAAACTTTAGCTAAATAATATCAAGTAGCCATTAACTCTAGTTTAAAGGTTTTGTAATATCCTAAAAATGGCAACACTTTGGCTTATTTTCATTCACTTAAAACTATTATGGAGCTGACAGATGTATTAGCTGCGTTAGCTTAATTGTACACTGCTAACTTCACAGCATTTGACGTTAGCTTAACAACGCCAAGTTTACAAACGTAAGACTAAATAGGAGATTCAGTGGTTTAAAACAAATTATAACAGGTAGTGGAAATAGAAATTAACTCCCATTACTGTCTTCAATTGGAGCTTTATGTGGTATGTAAACATGTTTAAACTGTTTAAACACTTTCAATTTGCAGCTAGCTGCTAACTCTCTCCAAATGACACTGACATGACAGCTCCTGTGGTTGCTTCATTTGTTTTTGGGTGAGCACCGCTGGGGCGGGCGTCCATGAGACAAACTCGTCAGTAATAGTGTTTCATATGTTTCCACCCGGCGGAGCGAAGGGGTAGTAAAAAACGTTCCCCTTAACTGCTATATAGGAGCACAGCTACATGCTGCTGAGCCCGTTTAGCCTCCAAAGCTAATGCTGGGGTTTAACTCTCCCTAGCTGTTTATGACCGTTTCCATGCTATCAACCGCTTGATTTTGGGGGGAGCATTTTGGAAACCGGCTTAAATTATGAGAGTGAGACTCACAGACAGAACACTGATACGGAGAGGGGCCTCCAACAAGCACGCCATCTCTCTTCCTCCAAGCGGGCGCCCCAATCGGCGCAGCACTCCGCGGACACTCCGCCCCCCAGAGCAACTATGAGCGGCTTTAAAAAGTAACGGCGGCCGTCCCACGGGGCTTTCCACGAGCTCTCCTTTCCTAATTACGCACCAGAATCCTGTGTGAGTTCGGCTGTGACAGTTATTACTGGATACAGAACAAAACAGCCCTGGTTGTGTTGGCGAGCTGTCTGACAGTCTATGGCTTTACCGCTTAGGTAAATGTTGTTTATAAGAGTGACGTAGATGTCCTCCTTTTCAGCCCGATTCGATACGTTACCAAGATCAAACCAGCGTCAAAATTAAAACAAAGTTAGGAAATCCTCATTAGAATAGTATTTTCATCATATAATATATTTACAAACACAAATCTTAAACAACAGTAAAAAAAATTTTATCAACACATTCATGATGAATCTGCTTCTGAATTTAAAAACATTCTCAAAGAGTACTGCGCATGCGCGTTGAGTGGTAAAAGCAAGGTGGGAAAATTCGTTCTGTCGCTTTCAACTGTGGATTAGTAACAAAATCATGTGTTTTGAAGAAAATTAGAACCTCTATGGACAATCCCTGGAGACCAGTAACCTCCTCAGCTAAAACTTGATTCACGTATGTACTGAATTGCTATACTTCTGCTTCTGTCGTTGCGTTGTTTCGTCTCAAAAGGTATTGCTAGCTGAGGCGTGCTGTGTTTGGTTTGTTGCTGTAGAACTTGAGCTACTACTAATAATCTGGCTGCTAGAATGGAAATATATTTTTTAATAAATTAGGCTTTGCCAAAGCTATCCTTTGGATAAATAGCAGCACCAAGTCAGAAAAATACTTTCATATTCACGTCCTTAAAGCATTTTAAGTCAGTATTTGCTTGCTTTGAATACATTATGTACAATTTAATTTGTAGGTTGTCATTATCAAAAACTGATAAACTGCTTAGAATGCAAGACACAAACATTGTGACGTCATACAATGAAAAAAATATAACTATTTATTGAGTAGTGTAAAAGTTGAAACCATCCACCTTTTAAATCAAGTTAAATCAAACCAAACTTCTCTTGTTTTAGTTAGAATCACCAGAATTATTTCTATTTTCTCAATGTTATAATAATGAGAGAAAGAAAATGGCACATATGTATTTAATAATGTTTTCAAAGTTTGCTTGCCTTATAAACAGTATGACTGACTTGTGTCAAACATTTTGGGTTTCCTTTTCACAATAGTTTGCAAATTTTGGTGTAAAAAAAAAAAAAGTAGAACTCATCTTGCACATTCTCCGTTTACATTCTCATAACCAAAAATAAAATTTTGACAGAAGTCAAATTCCAAATATTCGTAATAGTCGATGGCCTCTCATGCAGATCAGTAAGCCTCACAGCGTGAATGTAAGTTTGTCTGGTAATCTCACCTGTTCCCCGCAGCATGAAGATCGCAGTAGAAGGCTGTTGCCATGGCGAGCTGGACAAGATCTATGAGACCATCGAGTATCTGGAAAAGAAGGAGTCGATCAAAGTGGATCTGCTGCTCTGCTGTGGAGACTTCCAGGCGGTGCGGAATGAGGGAGACTTGAAGTGCATGGCGGTGCCTGCCAAGTACCGGACGATGCAGACATTTTACAAGTCAGTGGTTTGGTTTTGGTTGGCGATGATGATGATGATGATGGTGGTGGTGGTGGAGCAGACGTTGCTGAGACGTGATGGGACTGTTGCAGGTATTACTCTGGAGAGAAGAAGGCTCCAGTTCTCACCATCTTCATCGGCGGGAACCATGAGGCTTCCAACCACCTGCAGGAGCTGCCGTACGGAGGCTGGGTGGCTCCAAACATTTATTACCTGGGTAAGCAGCAGAAGGTTGTAGACCTGGGCGTCCGATACATTTACTAATATTAACTTGGGTTTTATGTCTCCAGGTTACGCTGGTGTCGTCCGCTATAAAGGGGTCAGGATTGGTGGCCTGTCTGGAATCTACAAATCACACGACTACAGAAAGGGTCTGTTCATTTATATATATTTTTTAAATATATAAAATGTTTTGATATGTTTTTTTTTCCACTGACAGAGCGTGTTTCCTTTAAGGTCACCACGAATTCCCTCCGTATAATCCAGAAACGCTCCGGAGTGTGTACCACATCAGGAATATGGAGGTGTTTAAACTGAAACAGGTACATCAGGATCTAATGTTCAGCTGCAAATCCTTCAGATATGCACAGGCCTGTCACAATAACACATTTTGCTGGTTGACAAATTGTCCCAGAAGTTATTGTGATAAACGATAATATTGTTTTGGAGACCATTTTCAAGTAACGTATTGATGACGGCATAATTCAAATCCACTCTCTCGAAGAGCAATAAACTGTAAAGGTGCAGTGCAGGTCCCTTGGTAACCCTAGTGAAGCACCCTGGTGAATATCTAAAGCCACTTTGTTGACATAAAGAATGTCAACAAAACAGTCCGACTCCGGTCGGCGAGGAGAGCCTTCCGCGACTGGGCCGGGGCGTGGCCGGACGATGGCCACCCTTCTCCGTTCGCACACAGCATGTTGGTGGAGAACGTGGTGCTAAATGACCTGCAGACGACCTGATTATAGACGGTCGGTAGGTAGATAGGTCAGTCAAACTTTATTAACAAACCAGCGTTCTGACAACAATCCCAGCATGCACCGAGGAAATTGAAGGTTTTTCGGTGCGCTTTATAGTGCGGAAAATACGGTATTTGAGTTTTACATCGTGCTACAATTTTATTTCCTCATCAAAAGTATACCTGTTGCCCGGATTCTTTGATGCATGTTTGAGAATCTTTTAATCTCCATGGCAACCATTCAGCTGTGCAAAACACCCGGGTGGCTCTAGCTCCGCCTTCGAACATGAAGCTCCTGCAATTTACAGGCTTCTGAGCTTCCGCCTCTCCCACAACAACTAGTCTGAAAGAACACACAGCTCCTGTAGACTAGCCAACGGCGATTAGCAAGGAGTTTTTAAAGAGACAGAGGCCCAATTTCAAGGTGTTAAATTAGGTAGTCAAATTTCTTTTTAAGTCATATTTGATATAAACTTAATTTTAATAACAACTCAAGTTAACATAGTTACTTAAGTGCAATATAAAATGGCACTATGTGCCTGGAAGACACATAATACTGCCACTTCAAATTTGAAAAGAACTCTGGAACTGGAAGATTTTTTTTTTAATATCCAAAGTAAAACACAAGAACCAAAAACAATAAATAGAGCAGAAATTTAAAAAAACACAGAAAACTAAAACCATAAATAAAATGGATTATGAGGGTCTCAGCTTATATTAATTGATTATTTGATTAACTGGTTCCTTGCTTATTGTGACAGGCTTGCATATGAATTGCATATTGTTTTTTGGGGATTTTTTTTTTTGGTGGGGATTTTTGTGTCTTACTGGTAAATTACTGTTTAAAAAAAAAAAGATCCAGATGCCCATAGACATTTTCATGAGCCACGACTGGCCTCGAAGAATCTACCATTATGGAAACACGGAGGATCTCTTGCGGAAGAAGAAGTTCCTGCGGTCGGAAGTGGAGACCAACACCCTGGGAAGTCCGGCTGCTGAGGAGCTGCTGGCCCATCTGCAGCCCAGCTACTGGTTCTCTGCACATCTCCATGTAAAGTTTGCTGCTGTCATGCAGCATCCAGTAAGTGTCTCACTCCCTCCAGGTAGAACATGGCTCAGTTAAATGCTAATTCACATACAAAAAAACAAAAAACAAACTTGGTTCTCCTCTTCTCAGCCTAAGGGTAACGCAGCCCCACGTGTCACCAAGTTCCTGTCTCTGGATAAGTGCCTCCCCTACAGAGAGTTTTTGCAGGTCAGAGGAAGTCTTCTTCATAGATACTACGCCATTTCATACTTGTATATTCACATTATATCTCCATATCTTTCAGATTGTTGATATTCCAGACAGATCGAGTTCATCTGAGGGTCTGGAATATGACCCGGAGTGGTTTGCTGTTCTGAAAGCTACCAACAGTTTACAGGTGACCACTCCTCAGCGCTGGAACCCCCCAGAGAATAACGGCCTGCACGAACGGTACGCAAAGGTCCCCAAGATAAATGGCACGATATACACACAATCATGAATCTCAGTGTACTGTATGCTTAAATTCTTTTTGTTTTTAATTATCAAATAACTTTGACATTTGTAGAGAAACTGTTGAGTTACGTTGCAGCATTTTCAGCTCGACTGACTGATTAGGACCTCAAAAATCCAATAATGCTTTAGGGATCACAGCAACAAAAACACTCTTCAGTGTGAAAGCTGCTCCTGAGGAAAGAAGACTCCATGTTAGTCATTGTCAGTGTCTAAAAGTCAAAGATGCAAGACACTGATGGAAAGGAAACTGTGTTTTCTCTGTCATGACATCTCTTACATGTAACAGGAAGGCAGAGCGGCTCTGTTTTAGCTTTCAGTTTGTTGCAGAACATGCTGGATTTGGAACTGTAGACAGCCTTCGTGTGTTTTCATAGCTAGCAGTCCGGTAGACTCGGTTTAATTGAGGGCCAAAATTGCGACGTTTGTTATATTTTCAGCGAGCGCCATGCACACTGTGCTGCTCAACGCTCTGTGGCAACAGAATTTGTGATTTCGCTGGTCGTGGTTTCCCCTGACGCTGCTGTGGGTTGTCTGTAACCGTCAGGTGGGACTTCAGAGCTTCGGAGGCGGACATGATGCAGGTGGTGGAGGATCTCAGCGGGGAACTCGCTATTCCAGAAAACTTCAGCCGTACCGTCCCGCCGTACGACCCCAGCCATCCCCAGCCACACGCCCCCCCGAGCTACAACACCAACCCACAAACGACAGAGCTCTGCGCCAAGCTGGGCCTCACAGACGTCTACTGTAAGGTCGGGCAGAGAGGCGACGACGCAGGCAGGTCCCAGAGCGCCACCGGGGGGGGCGAGGACGAGAGTCTGGATGAACCCAGCGAGTATCCGACGGATACGTCAGGGTTGTCCAGTTCTTTTAACCCTGATGAGATCACCATCGAAGACGAGTGGGAAGAAGAAGAGGAGGAAGGAGCAAAGGCGGACCTGCCCTCAGATACCCACACCCCCTTTCGGATGGTCCTGCCAGAGCCCAAATCTACCGTCTCCCCCTCTGTCCTGATGGACCTGCCACCCCCCTCCCACTCCACCCCCAGAGCTCCTCCCGCTCAGCCAGAGGGCGAACAGGAAGGACGGTGCGGTGATGAGGAGGCTGCCGCTCGCATCCTGAAGCGGAGCGGCGGCGAAGCGGGAAGCGGGAACACGACTCCGAGAATCAAACGCAGGAACCAGGTCATTTACCAGAGCACTGACGATGACGAGTGTGAGGGTTAGAACGCAGGAAACGGACTTCTTTATTAAGATGTCATTTTATGGGTTTTAAACAAAGCCAGACCATTTTAGAAAACAGGATTTGAATTTCAGTTTCTTTGGTAATAGGAAATTCTAATTTAATGGCAAAGATTAAAGAAGCTGATGATGTTTTTTTCTTTTCTTTTTTTTTTGAATAATCTATCACTAAAACTAAAAAACAAAAAGAAGTCAACTGTGGTTATTAGAAACAGTATTTTCAATGCAGTATGGCTGAACCCTCAGCCATACTGATTTTTTTTTATCTTTCAGCAAAATATGAATTAATTTTAATTAGGAACTTGCAAATAAATTTCTCTCACTATCCTAACAAAAGTACTGAGAGTGCATTTTTTCCTAGTGATTTGCTAGCAGAATTGTGCATTTCTTTTTTTTTTCAGCAGATGCTCCAACTTTCTAATTAGTTTTTGATAATTTTGCCGACTTCCAACAAGACTCAGCTCTTAAGTAAAATTGCATCAGTTTCATGCTAGAAGAAAAACTACTGAACTCTAAAAAGCTGTGGGTAACATGTTGCAGAGCCACCAAAATGACATTGAAGGAAAAAATAAAATTTCTCAAGTGCACAAGATCTGGTAAGCATGAAATTGGATCTGGTACTCATGTTTTCTTTTTTTTTTCCTTGCAATGTCCTTTTGGGGCTTCATACCGTTCCATGTGTTGCCGTGACTATTGGAAAAGTTCTTATAACCAAGAGATGTGTTGGTGGGAAACGGGCTAAAGTCAGGAGTTGTTGTTTTCTACACCTAGACACCATTCCAGGAGGAGAAAAAAAAAAGATGCTACAGGTTCCTGAATATAGGTAATAGTTTTAAATCGAATAAAAAAAAAAAACTAAGATAATCCCCATATGCGTTAAAATAAATCTCCTAAACTTTATATATATATATATAAATTCAAAAATGTGCATCCTATTGATTGTGTTTACACTCCAAAAATTGGTGTTACATATATCTGCCTTACTTCACATTGCTAATATTTGGATGGAAAGGCGTTAGCTAATATTAGTTAACATGCTAAAATTATATCGTTGGGTAATGCTCAATTCGTATAGTAGTTATCTATTGCAGGCTAATATACAGATAGTAATTGCTAAAGCACAACACAGTTTCCACTAATTTATTAGCTAGTAGCTGCCTGCTAGCTAGTAACTAATAGTATAATAATTCATTCTTGCCTTGTTAACCAACATGCTAATATTGACGCGATTGCTACAGAAAGCTACTGCTAGTATACTAGCTATTGTTAGCTTTTCTGGGGATTCATTGAGATTACACATTAAAGCTTGATTTCAGTATCCATCTTTCTACTAGACGTCACCGTCTACTATTCAGTATCCTTTACAGAAATTCCGACAGATTTGTTTCTGTCGGAGGGTCTCACAGAGCCTGCCTGCCTGCGGTCTTCCTTCCAAGTAGCTTATTGTTAGCTTTATTAACTGCACCTCCTCATTTGTAAGTCGTTTTGCATGAACTCTTCTCCAAATTGCATAAATACATTTTTCACGCTTTTAAGGTACTTGTAAAGGTTTTTCCAAGAAATTGTAAAAGGGAAAATATTGCACTGGTCATCACTGTTGGTTTAAATCAAATAGATTTATAACACTGATTAGAGTCCTTTGAACAATCCATTCCAGGTTTACAGGTGTGATCTGCTAAAGTCAACATACACTTTCATTAAAATAAGGACAATATATGACATACAGTGTCTTTGACAAGATCTCTTTACATCCATTCAAAGAGCCATTACAGTGTAGCTTAACGACAAGACGCCATGTTGTTTTAAATACAAGCCAGTATCAGGGAAGTGCTTTTCCTGCGCCCTGTCCACAAAAAATAAAATAAAAGTCACACCAAGGAAAAAGAAAACTTGGAGTAGGCACTTCTGTTCTCGTGTTTTACCAACATTTTTTTTTTCCTGTTTTCTTCGGCCAGGTTTGACAGCTAACAAGCACACCTAACTCATTTCAAGAGCATTGTCTGAAAATAAGTTAATTCAGAAAACCATCTAAGATCACCGTGACAAGAGACAAACAAGGGACATTTACCAGAAGACGGGCAGAAAAGATCCCACAGGGAAACTTGGGTTGTTTTGATATTCATTTTAGATCTTTTCTGCTTTCTTCCACATAACTAAACAAACAACCCCAGGATATCAGTGATCTGAGGCGAGAATTTTTACATGCACAGAAGCAGACACCATGGCATTATCTGCAATCGAATCACCTCTATTACTCAGTGCAGCCCTTCAGTCGGTTTAAGAGATCTACTCACAGCAGGATCCTGGTATTTGATGCCAATCCGAATGCTTTAGATTTCCCCGCTGTTCATTGTGTTTAGTGCCCAACATCCCCTCCACATCAAGGCCATAGTGTTGTGGTAAAGTTTCCCCTCTTTCTTCATCACTGCCCATGCACTACGTTGCAGGGAGTTTCTCAACATTGCATCTGAAATACCTAAAATACAAACAGGTTTAGCTTTGTGTGCGCCAACACGTTGGCCTCATGTAGTAAATTTAAGTTTCTACCTAGACTACAGGACATGATTTGGATAGGCTGGAATATTACAGCTGGAAGGCAATGAAGTCTAAATCATCACACTAGAAATTTGACCAGGCTGACACACTTGAGACATTGTGATATGGATCTTTTCAAGCATGACAGAAGGGTTACAGGTCATTCCAGGACGGTGGTATGAGGCAGTATTCACAGCAGACTTTTCATCAGTTCAAAATCAGACAAAGCAAGCTCCACAAAGAAGAAGAAAGCTCCCTTTTCTAATGGTTTCTGTCCACTCACAAGAATGTGCTGTTCAGTTTATGCAACAGGACAGTGGGTAAACTGAAGCAAGGCAGAGAGAAACAGGATTTTCACAATTGGTGCTAAATACTACAACAGGCTTGCCGCTGCCTTGCACATTTCCTTTGTTTTGCACTTCTCAATCTTGGTCTTCGCCTGTTATTTCCAAAAGTAAAATCTCAGAGTCTGGTGGGCAGACTCAAGTGTCCGCCCTTAATTCAATTGGCATCATTCTTCTTCTGTCTTCCCCCGTTCCTTTGGGTTTCTGTCTGCTTGGACTGGAGGATGGGCGCAACACACAGAGGGGAGCGGACGTCAGGTTCCCCTACATCAGGCTAACCTCTGGATGTTGCTGCAACACGACGTGGCGGTTTCAGGACTGTGGTGGAGGGGAGAACGGATGGGTGGGGGGGATGTTAATACACAGCGGGGTGGTTCAGGAGCTTTAGTTTCCGCCGCAGCAGGCTCGGCTGGAGTGGGCGTCTGGATGCTGGAGGTTCACTCCCCGATGTCGTGCTGCGTGTGTTGGGTTCTGCGTGTCTGTTTTTGGCATCTTTTTTGCTACAGCAGAGTAAATGAGAGTTGTAATAGGATTAGCAAAGGACAACGCATATTCCACATTATTAACTCATTTACAAAAGAGCTAAATGTTTTGAATCTGGTACAAGGTGTCTCACCAATAGCCAAGAAAAGCTCGTTGACATTCATGGCTGTCTTGGCAGACGTCTCCATGAACAGCAAACTGGTGTCCTCAGCATATGTCTGGGCTTCCTTCGCAACACAGAGAAGGACAGCTGATCAGTGACAGTGTCATCTTGTCCTTATCATTGGAGGGGTTTAATGAACTGAACATTGTTTTGAACGGCCTTACCGGGGGAGGTGACTGCTCTAGCAATACAACCATTCTGCCATAAAGTAGTGATACACAGAGGTTTGAAGAGTTCATCCCCCCTTCAAAAATATCCACACATCATAAGCTTTTCATCATTTAGTCATGGCACAGCTAAAACGTTTGTGTGTCTTGGTCTTGTGTGCGGGCTTAAACTTTTGTACACTGAACTCAAGACCATGGTTTCCAGGGATCTCCTTCTATTATTCAACAGGACAATGTAAAACCCCACTCTGCACACCGACTGAGGAAGTAGCAGGACAAGCAATGGACTGTGTCTACTCTCCCAAAAGAGAAGGTGTAAAGCAGTTGTCTCAAACTAGGGCAGGGTCCTGCAACTTTTAGATCCATCTCTGCTTCAGCACACCTGGCTCCAATATTAGCTCATTACAGAGCTCTGTGGAGCTTGACTGTTGAGGCAATTTAGCCATTGAAATCAAGTGTGTAGGACAAAGGACACGTCTATAAAATTTCAGGACTCTGGTCCTCACGGAATGCAGTTGGAGACCACTGGTGTAGAGGACTTAGAACTTCTGTCAATTTCTTCCTAAACTATGGATATAAAGAGATTAAATAGGAAAAAAAAAAAAAAAAAAGCAAGTAGTACCTCGTATTCTACCAGTCTCTTCTCAGCAAGATCAGCCTTGTTTCCGGCCAGAGCGATAACAATGTTTGGACTGGCCTGCCTCTGCAGCTCCTTCACCCAGGCCTTGGCTCTCTCAAAGGTCTCCTGCAACCACATAATCAGAGGTCAAATAATGACCTTCACATAAGACTGTATAATTAAACCCATTCTAAGACTAGCTCACAAATAATGTGCTCTTTGCCTTCATGTACCGGTTTAGTGATATCAAACACGACGATGGCGGCCTGAGCTCCGCGGTAGTACATGGGAGCCAGGCTGTGGTATCGCTCCTGTCCTGCTGTGTCCCAGATCTCAAACTTGACTGTGGTGTCGTCTAAACACACTGACTGAGCCAAGAACGCAGCTGGAGAAACGCGGACGAAAGAGCAACAAGTTAGCATCGAAGCATTCTAATAAGGAACGCTCACCTAATCAGCACCGCTGCGTCTCACCCCCTATAGTCGTCTCCTGGAACTCGTCGAACTGTCCCTTGACGAAGCGTAGCACCAGGCTGGACTTGCCCACAGCCATGTCCCCCAGCAGCACCAGCTTGAACTGGCAGATCTTGGTCTGCGGTAGCGAGCCGTTGGATCGGCTGCCGCTCCCTCTGGAGCTCATACCGACCTGTGCAGGAGACGGCTGGGGGGATGGGCCTCCTCCCTGGAATGCTGCTCTAACAGTGACCCGAGTGGCCTCCCAAGCAGACACTCGTTACTGGGGCTGGCTTGATCTTTGTACTCTTCCGGTGTTTTTCTTTGTGCAAAAGGAAAAACTTTAACTTTTATGAAGTTAATTCCAACGACAGGTTCCATACTTAGTAAAATCCCCGGTTTCACTATCCACTGGTCTACATTAGAGGAGAGCTGTGGTCAGTGCTAAGTTTTAGTTTGCACAGTCTACCTCCAAACTGACTCCTAGCAGAAAGAAACCTGTAGATATTTAAGTCAGAGTAACAAACATCAGCTCATGTTGGAATACTTTTCAAAGAAATCTGAAGAAATGTTAATAAAACACAATGTCAGTGTTGGGGGGGGAAGTGACTGTAAGACCCAGGGAGAAAACACAACCTTTGTCTAATGCGATTAAAAACATTGTGAAGATAAAAGACATATATGTAATCACTACGCTATGTCAATACAAATCTTTTTTTAGCTAACCTCCCTCCTCAACTTATGGACACAAAGAAAAACTGAGTCCCTGATGCAACAGCTTGTAGAACCGCCTTCAGCAGGACTATTTCTTTAGAACTCCAGCCACAGGGTTTCTTTTCCTTGTTATTGACAGGTTGTTGATGTGTTTGGATTATTTGTTCTCATCATTGCCCTATTTGGGTCAAGGTGGAGCCGTCACAAATGGCTTCATATTTGACACGGGAAATTTTGTTGGTGAAGCAGTTCATGGTCACCTCAGTGACTGTAAGATGGCCGGGTACCCGTGGCAGCAAGCCATCACCTTCCTTCGCATTTGGTTACGACGCTACGGCTCCTTCCTCACTGACTCTTTGGTCTTTCCTATGCAAAAAACACTGTTCCAAAAGTCCCATGGTTTGGTTAGATACAACCATGGACTGGTAAAATTCAGCCCCTTGTTCTGCGCTTTGCTTTGTTCAGAGCACTGAAAGGAGAGGAGAATTAGGCAGAATTGCGTAGAAAGGCAGAGGCTCGGCTAATATAACTTCTCAAACCTATGTAGAGCTGTTTAGACTCTTTTGGTGAGACAAATCAATTCTCTAGGTCCCGTTCCACAACAAGGCAGCCTTTGGTTTTCCTGTCATGAGCTTCTCTGATTAGCACACACTCTGACCGCAGACTGAACTCGATGGGACTGGTAGTTATCCTGAACATATCTGACTTTTGAATCCTCTGTATTGCTGCAGCAACAAGGACTCTACTATTTGAAAATGGTTCCTGTAGCCTACAGGTGTAAAACTCCAATCCTCGATGGTCGGTATCCTGCAACTTTTAGACATGGTTCTGCTGCAATCCCCCTGAATCAAAGAATTAGGTCATTGCCAGGACTCTGGAGAAATTGTTTCATACTGAGGAGGTAATTCAGCCATTTGATTTCCATGTGTTGGACCAGTGGCACACCTGGTTGGACCTAGCTCCGCCCTCGAGGCGCAGACCCTCCGTAGAGCTGCAGTTTCCAAGCTTCTGAAGCCCTCACCCACAACTCCCCCACTTAACTCCTTCAGACTAGCCAGCATCAATTAGCAAACACCTTGTGGAACTGTGCATCTGCTGAGCTCATCATGCGTGCGATTGCTTAGTGCAGCGCTGGTAAAAATGTTGTTAAAGGGTTAACAGAGGAGCCATGTTGTGATGACGTCCTGAAGGTGGAGTTTCAGAAAGAGTTGGAGTTTTTAAAGAGACAGAGGCCCAATTTGAAGGCATTAAATTAACAAGTCAAACACTTTTAAGTTATATTTGATGTATACACCATTTTATATCTACTGAAGTAGTTATTGATTGTGCTATAAAATGGCACTCACTGTGTGCCTGGAAAATGCACATAGAGCCATTTTTTTTTAGCACATAGTGAATCTTAAGTTACTGTTTATAAAACATTTTCTTTAGATCATATCTTTCAAGTGAAAGATGATGTTTTACCAGGACTGTCCTCTGTGACAGAAACACCCCCCTCCTGCTAGGCACCCTAAGACGAACAATACGAGCTAAAAATGCAGGACTGTGAGAAATTCGCAGCGCGAAGATAAGACAATTTCAGATCGATGTTCTCACATGTCATGTCAGACAACAGAGGTCTGAATCAGATCAACCGTGAGACCCACGGAGGGTGGAGGTCTCAGCACGGGTTCTGATGCTGCGCCTCTGCGTCTAACCGACACAATGAGGAGAGGGAGTGTGGGTGGGGGGGCTCCATCAGTCCATGACTCCAGCTCTCTGATTCTATGAGCAGATCGTTACGACGCTACGGTTCCTCCCTCACTGAACCTTATCTTATCTCACGGCGTGAGCTAACGACACACACCGCCGGGTCCAGACGAGACACCACTCAGTCTACAGACCTTCGTATTTCGACGCTGGACTAGAAACAGAGATTATTTCTCCTTCTACCGACACGGCGTGTTCTTACTGACGTTCCAGCGAAAGGATATTTACCGTGTTTGAGCGGCAGCAGGTGTCCCAGGCTTTTCTGTTGACAGTGGAGCTATCAGCTGCTGCTGGAAGAAAAATGTTAACGCTTCCTGTAATCTGGCGCATGCGCTGTGAGTGCCGCATTGTCAAACTGGCATGAAGGGAAATGAAAACAAGAACTGTTATCTACTCGGTTTATTGAGTTATTAAGCAAAAACTAAGAACGTATAGAATAGTTCAAGCAAGAACACACTGCGTTCGTAATAAATGTAACTGAAATTAGTTATTCTTTAACAAGAAGTAAATGCAGTGGCTGTCTTTAATAGAAAAGACGCGTTGGTTTGTTTAAAAATAATAAAGATGGCGGATTGAAATAATATTTTCCAAGAAATCCCATATGGTTCTCTTTGTACTTATTGGCTGGTGATAAGTTCAGGGGAATAATTGAAAGTCGGAATTTGAAATACAAACATTCCTGTCAAGCTTTCTAGTTATCTTTAGCAAAATCTGAAAAACGACGTAGAAATATTATTTTTAGTCATCACTGTTGTCCTCTGTGGAAATTTTTTTAATTTTAGAAATGATCCGCATGTTTCACAAAAAGCATGAGAGCACAGTGGTGCTCAATCGAAGAAAAATAGAAAAGCACTGATGATACCTCACTGGGAGCCAGCACCCATGAGGTTTACATAGTTTCTGCCGAATTAAAATGTTATGAATGACACAAAGTATTTATCTTTTAATAATCTTGCTTTTTATTGCTTTCCTTTTAATTTCCTTGCATCACAAATGTCCACCAACCTTTACTCCAAAGTAAAACTGGGGGTCACCCAAACCTGCATTTAATTAATTCATTAAATTTGGTTTGTTTTTAAAGAAAAACTGACAGGTGCTTGTATGTTTTGTCTGTTTTATAACATTGTATTCTATGTTGTTTTGTATGTTTGAAATTTCTGGCTGCAAAACAAATTTCCCCCTTGGAAGACAATAAAGGATCTTAACTGAACTAAAGTGAACTGAACGGTTCTTGTCTCTGTGAATAGACAAGAAAATAAAAAAGTGTCAGTCACACCATAAAATGTTCAGGCTGTGTGCGACTCTTCTAATAAGGCAAACCTAGACAAGTGATTTTACAATTTGGATCCATCTTGTCAGTGCTCTCCACACCAGAACTGATCAAGAAGAGAAACTATTTAAGGCGTGTTTCTGTTAAGCGAAACTTTATCTCATAGTTGCTGTGCATTATGACTAGAAGGTTACATAAATTACCTCTGCTGACTCTGACAAAGTTCCCAGATTTACTCCTCCTCAGTCTGCCACTTGCAGGGTGTTGCCAAATATGCGGAAGTCAAAAGAAATAAATATGAAAGCTGTAAGCAATAACACAAGAACTTATCAATGTTTCACCAAGAGCTTTTTTCAATATCTTTTATAGAGTCACTCAGAACCCTATGCAAATGTCTAACTGTAGCAGGTTTTAAGAGTATTTTACAAATTTATGGCAAAATAGATCTTAATAGGAGCTCAGGTAGGATTGCAATGTGGCATTCTAAAGGCACAAACATTAACTTCTAACTTCTTTGCATTCTGAAACCAGGTAAAATCCCATCGAACTAACATTAACAGATGTTCAACAAATTAAGCCTGGTAAATTCCAAAAAGGAAGTGCATAAGACAATATTAATGTAGCAACCAAATCCCTTCTTTCAATCCTTAAATCACTTAAACCTAAAATCTTGAAACCATTATTTTTGTTGATCATAACGAGCAAGGATCATATCTCCCATCGTAATGTCTGTCCATCTTTCTAA